TGTGTGTGTGTGTGTGTGTGTGTGTGTGTGTGTGTGTGTGTGTGTGCATGTATTTTTGGAAGCGAGTGAATTTTGTCACCCATTTTCAGCTCAGCAACCTGAAAAACTAGGAAGCTGAAATTTTGGGGTCATATTCGCACCAATGTGTCACCCTTATTCGTTTTAAAATCTTCGCTCATACTCGCCAAGATCTCGAGTAAGGAACCCCGAAAAAAATATGCAGATTTCTTTAGCGGGAAACGATTTTGCGAATCAGGCGAGATGGAAAGCTGAAACTTTTCGGGGATTTTTTCTGTGCATGTATGAGCTGAAGGTTTAAAATCCAGCCATAGCATACACGTACACCGCGAGCGTGGCGACGTCAAAACTTATACTTTTCACCGCGCTAACGCTAGCCGGAAAACAGTAGGTGAAATTTTGTCAGGATATTTATATAGGAAATCGTGTGCCTAAACCTAGTCTCGATTTGTATTTGCGTCACGACTTGGGGCACTTCTAAGGTATTTGTGGCGGAATGGCTATTTCGCTTACCAGACAAGTTGCAAAGCTGGAACTTTGCAAGGATATTCTACATTTACGTTTGGTTTTAATTCAACTTAGCGGTGAAATTCTGTGCATACAGGGATGAAAAATACCACTCATCGCAGACTCAAAAGCGGGTGCGTTTTGCAGATTGCATAACCCTCTTACCGGGTTTCATACAAAAATCGATAATCATGCACGCTGGAGGTCCATGCGGCCCATAGTGCAACACTCTTGTCTCAGCGGACGCCCTTCCCCCTGCATGCGCGAACAGACCACAGCCAGTATGAGTCTAAATGTTAAAGTACAGCGCAGGAACTATTCTTGCTATTAGCGATTTGCAAGCTTAGCGCAAAAATGCATGTCGCACCGGCAAATCTAAAGCGTTGCAGCCTGGGTTGCATTTGCATATACGCTAAAATGCATAAAAATTTGACACAAAGCCGAAAAATTGCCAAAAGCAGCATAAAAAGTGGTAAGAAAGGAATTACAGTGTAATTCAGGTACCACATCACTGCTGCACGGACTATACTGTTAAAAGCAAAAATCCCCGGAAGGAGTTCAGAATCACACGCTTTTCAAACAAACTAAGCAATAGCAAGTAAATATGCATCCCGTTTCATGCATTAGCCCTTTCTTCCTTAAAAGCAAAGGTTTTATTTGTTGCTTTTGCAGATGCGGGTCACGATTACGATTCAGTGTACCGTGATTTGGCTTCGTTTCGAAGCATTTTGACTGACGGAGGAGTTATTTTTGGTGACGATTACGTTCGCTCAGGTTTGATTTTTGAAAATTCCCCGAAAACTTCCAGAAATTATCAGACATTCAAGTTTCATTGTGTCTTCAAATAAACTAGCCGAAATTTTATATTTCTTGGAATAGTTAGGAACAGAAGAAAGAGGCCACAGGCCAAGAAAATTCATGCCTGCAAAAATGAAGGTTTATTATCGCTTAAGAGTAACTGTAAGTCAAGCGAGGTTAAAAGGGCAAGAGAAATCCAAATTTGCGATCACTAGGTTTGTCGGTACGTTTTTTTGCATCAAACTTGAAGCAGCCTGATAGTTAACAGCACATGTGAACATTTGTTAGCTGTATTTTAGCTTTTCCTTACATACAAGGGTAAAAGGCGGCTGCCTAAGATAGCAGCATTTGCATTATGGGACAGTGTGAACTTCGAGAATGCGTGTTTTTAAATTTTGCATGAAAAGGAATGAATTGTTTCCGGTGAATGGTCGTTCACTGAAAATTTGATTACTTTAGTGTTTATAAGATCGGAAACAGAAGTAGAAAAATTTATCAAAAGGCATTAACTGATGTTTATTGTTAGTCTTCATTCTGGCTGCACCTGCCTAAAATCGTTCATGATAACTGGCCGTAGCCAATCACGAAATAGTCAGAATGACCGTAGTTTTGGCTTTTGTTTCTTGGAGTACCCGTCTTATTCGTCAGCTTTGCCGAGATGAACTAGAAGTGGTTAACCGTAAAATGATCAGAATGAGCTAAATTATACGCAGGCCGTCAGCTCATGGCAAAATTTACCAATGAATTAGTAGGCTTACATCTCCTTTTTTTATTGTAATAATTTACATGGCCTGCAGATCTTATCGAAGCAGTGGACGACTATGCCGCCGAAGCTGCTGTTCCTGTTACTGTAGCCAGTGACCGACGCACATGGATTTTGCATTTCTCATCGCCCGATTCATCATCGATATTACCGCGGCGCTTCTGATATCACAGATTTGCTGAACACTTCCAACCTCTTTAGTTTTGTGAATCGCGTCGATAGCGGTGCTTGTGCAAATTCATTTTTTAGAAAATAACAAAATTGAACTCCAACTGCAGAAAGCAAACGGACAATCATATTTTCATATAGCGACAATACATTCAAATACGCAGGTAATATGCACTCATAGCGGTGGTACCCCGTGCTACTGCTGTTACTGGGATGCTCCCAACTGCCAGGTACAGGTCCTTAGTTTCTGGGCTGCATACCCCCGGATAGTGCCCACCCCTGTCTCAAGTATGTGTCCTATTCCTTCAACGGCTACTCAACGTTTGTTTACTTCTTTCATAAACTATATAAAAGTCAATAACATTCTGCTGAAATTTAAATGCAAAAACGCTCGAGAAACCATTGGAGCAGTAGGCATAAGAGACAATGGAATTTGGAAATTATCCAGCACTAGTATTGTTGAGTTGGTTGGGTTGTTCAGTTAGTTGCTTCCCGCGATGTTTGCGAAGGGGAAAAAAGAAGCAGTGCTGGGCAATGGATGAAGTACACAAGCAGGAATCTGGATACCACTGCTATCGGCGCAATTCACTAGCTTATTTGCGTGTATAGTCCCTGTATGAGAATGTGACTGTCTGTTTGCTTTCTGTAGCGGGAGCCGGATTTCGTAATTTTATGCGTTTTTTGCATCTATGCAATGCAAAAACGCATATTGTCGAGGGGTTGTCTGTGTGTGT